CATCGGCAGGCGGACTCTCAACCACTGTGCCACCAGGGAAGCCCCAGATTAAATATTTTTAACAGTTGGCATGAATAGTATGATTTTGATCACGTGACTATTCTGATAAAGGGCAAATAATTAAATGGAGTCCTAAGTTTTCAGCACAGGTAATGCTTCTCATTCTGAAAAGTTTATTATTCAGCCTGAAGTGTTTGTTGTCTAGGAAATTGTTCATAAAGGTTCAGCTACAACTATCCTTCCCCTGATCAAACATGAGGCATGAAATGTTTCACATGGCAAATCAGATCTCACTATGCCATGACTGCTGAAGAATCACAGGATATAATCACATGTGCTATATGTTACACGCATGAGTACAGTCCTACATTAAACTGCTCGTTAATATTTTTAAGGAAGACTAAACACAGAGACACACAAACACATACACATTCTTGCTCCTTGACTTTTATTTAAGGAAAATTGCTATGATTTTAAGGTATAAATCCATTTTTTAGAAATTTAAATACATATATTATTATTATAATATTATATATGTATATATAAAATTTAAATGTACATATGCACGCACACACACATATAGCAGCAACAGTTAATAAGGTAGTTTTTTAAATTAGAATTAATCCTTTGGAAAAAAGCCTTAAATGCATTGTCTCTATCCCTTAATAAGATTGATGTGAAGTGCAACCAGCCTTGTTCTGGAAACGCTAGTAGAACTTGCTGCAGTCTATAGGAATCTAGGGGCCTCAGAAACGGAGTCTGTGTTCCCAGACAGGAGAGCCGAGGTGGACATATACTCAGAAACTCTGCAGACACGTTGGCTGCGGCTTCGCAGAGGACATCTGCTGTACGGCCCTGCGATGTCAGCTTGTTACGGACAGAGCTCCTAAGTTCCCCTCTGTACGTCTCCTAATTAAGTTGTATCATACTCTCACTGAGGATGACTAGAGAATTATTTCGAGAAATGCTAATGAGCCTCCGTGACTAGAGCTAATTAATAACGGAGCACAATTTAAGGCTGACAATGCCCCCTGGCTTCTGCTATTGAAAGCCAATCAATAAACGAACAGCAGTTAATGACAGACTCTCCATGGGTAACATCTCCCAATTTTCCGTGACCACAAAGCATGGGAGAGAAAAGAAAAGGGATTTTTCTCGGCTGACACCCTGAATCACTCCCCAGGTCAGTACAAGGAGAGAGTCTGTATCTTGACCCTTATCTTCTTACAAACACGCCTTTAGTTAGACCATCCCTGGTGGCTTCTGAAATCAAGTGGAGGCAAGTCCAAAATCATATTGAAAATGGAAATACTTATATCAGCGTTTTGCCTAAAATGCTGGCCTCAAAACACAGTTATAGAAAGTCAAAGTTACACTCACCACCACATCGGTCCTCATCTTCCCAAAAGTCTTGATCAAATGGGCATAATGATAATCTTCCATCTGTCGTAAAATAGCTGTCATACAGGCCACGAAGTTTCCCTGTAAACAAATCAAAAGATACAATGAGATGAGGAGACCCACAACACTCATGGGAGAAACTGATGTAAACTAAGAGTCTGGGATCAAAGCCCATCAGGGAGAAGCCATGTGCCAGGCTGGCCAGCTAAGAGAGCGGTCACTCCAGCCTCACCATCTTTCCTTTTGCTACATTTCCTTCTAACTACATTAGATGTTTCCTGATACATGACCATCCAGTCTGGAAAAAACAAGCTTGAAATATTCTCACATTAAATATGTGCAATGAAAGGCAGGCTCAAAACCGCCACCACTGTGCGTTACGTTCCCTGGAAAGTTGCTGCCCCTGTTATCAGGCAAAGTGTGTGTGCAGCCCCTGCTCTCGGGCTGTGGCAAAGAGAGGACTTTTATTTCTCAAAATTTGCCTCTATCCCCCTTGGCCAGTTTGGAGGCAATAACCACCGACTCCACGATGAGTTATGGCTCACTTCTCCACAGAAGCATGTGGGGAGGAATGGAGCCTCATCAGAATGTAAAGTGGGGGAGACAGGGAATTTCTCAAACCAGACAGAGCTGGCAGGGTAGGAAAAGAAGGGGAAAAAAGAAACCACCACACAAAATCAAGACATGGAGAAACTGAGGGGCCAGAGCACTTGGCAACAGAAGTGCCCAGCATGCAAGTGGCTGTGCATGTGGACGTGTTTGCGTGTGCAGGTCTGTGCACGTGTGTGTGTGTGCAGACACACTAAGGGGGATTTGGTCCAGCGGGGGAGCAGGGGGTTAAGCAGTCCCATTGCCATTAACTGCAATGTATCACTTCCGGGCTTCATGGCTAGCAATTTCCTAAAAGACTTCTTTGCTTTTGAATATTTTCCCCTAAAGTAATGATATTTCAAGAAACAGAGGACATATATTTTCTCCCATTAAACCAGCACAAGCCTGGTAAAATGATAGGATGAGATATACTTTGAGACATGGCCTTAATTTTGCCTTATTAAATGAGTTCACAAATTGCGTTCTTTTACTGTTTTACAAGCAATGTATTTGAATGCCTAAATATCTCTTGTATTCATTTCAAATGCATGCTCTACAGTGAAATGGTAAAGTCCAAAATTTTTTCGGATCCATTTTATATCTATAATCAACATATATGCTTCCAAATGGGTCCTCAGAGGATGCATTACGTAAGTTGAACAAATAAAATAATGATAATAAGTTATCTTCCATTTGCCCAGAAATGTAAACTATTTATGAATGGTGATAATTGCTGAAATTTCGATTTCAAGTTGGTGTTCAGGGAAAG